CCCCGCGCGCGGCCGCGGGGCCCGCGCGGGGGGGGGGGGGCGGGGGGGGAGAGGGAGGAGGAGGAGGAGACCCTCCTGGGCTACCACAAAATCCGTCCGTCCCGCAGCGGTCCAGCTATACCGGCTTAAAGGACGATTTCTCTGTCGAGAGCATTAAGCAAAACAGCTGCGCTGCACTGGAGAATCGGGGTCATTATTTTTTTCCAGCTTTAAAATATATTTCCCTTTCTCAAATGAAAGGTTGGAATTAGGCACAGCGTCCAATGCCACTCAGGAAAAAAAAAAAAAAAAAAAGCTGTAACTTTTTCTTGAAAGTATTCACAGATTGATTAATGTACAATTTAAAAAATAGACAAAGTTAGAAGCACATTAATCTTCAGAAAGCTTGGCCGAGTTAGTGGCAGTTTATGTTACTGTGGAATACAAAGCAACAAGTTAAAAAAAGATACCGTTAAATAAATATATACGTACACAAAAGAGGCCTGTAATCTACCTAAGTTTGTCAGAAATCCTGTTAAATCGTATGACCTTAACTCTTCCGGTTTATGGTCTCGCCAGAAACCCTCGGTGGAATTGCAGCCACAATATAGTCTGCAGTAACTGTCTCTCGTTACAACACAGAAGTAATGCAGAAAAGTCCGATTCATAATAAAATTTAGAATTGATGAGGGGGGTGTTGCTGCTGTGAATGGCAGTGATTGGGATCAATGCCTGTGATCCCAATTCTTTTTGAGAATCCACTGTAACGTTAACCATGCATGACAGACTGAGCATTTTACACGCTGGAAACATGTCCTGCAATATTACTGACAGCTACTACTTTTTTTTTACATTGTAACTCTTAATAATAAACAAGTATATTTAGTTTCTAAGTTATGTAGCTTCATTAAAGCATTCCTTCTAAGGAATGCTAACAAGGACCATTTATAAGCACTATAAGCACACCAAATTTTAGAGGCATATAAACATTAAAAATCAGAAAGCATGCAATCCAGGTAATAACATCATCCAGAGTTTTCTTATTAACTATTCATACTTGATTTTGCTGTAAAGGATTTACCAGTTACATTGAATTAATGTATTGACTGATAAATTTACTATTTAACATCTAATTGAGCATGAGGGAAGAAATATCTGAAGACATGAAAAAATAGTAATTCATTAAGTATCTGTCATGGCAATTTATAATGGGATGAAAAGCATAGTAGCAGTATAAATCATTATGGAGAATATTAATGTGTGTCAATACTGGGCAAGGACATTTTTGCGTGCGTTATATCCACTGGGTGTCAGTGGATGGGAGAAAACTTTTTGAAAACTTGGCTCCCTGGCGTCCCTCCTCTGACATGGA